TGACAAGTTACAGTTAAGAAAAACAGATTAAAGAGTACTCTTAGAATTAAAAAAATATGATGTCTCAAAAGGTCTCAAAATATGAGGTCTCACAAGGCATGAGTAAATAATCCATTACCACAGTGGTTCTCAACCTTCCTAATGCCACAACCCTTTAATACACTTCCTCATGTTGTGGTCACCCCCAACCATAACATTATTTTTGTTGCTGCTTCATAACTGTAATGTTTCATTCTTAGGTGACCCCTGTGAAAGGGTCATTTGACCCCCAAAGGGGTTGTGACCCACAGGTTGAGAACCGCTGCATTATCAGATCTAGGGGTTCTTTTAGCCAACATATAACCTCCGTGAGTGGTGCACTTTGGGACACTCACAGTTACTAAATGAAAGATTGCTGGTTCAAATCCATGCACAGGCAACTTGCAAGACAGGACTGGCTGTCACTGTGTCCACAAGGAAGAAACATTTCATCCTTTGTGATCCCAGGACTCTAAGTAATAAAATCCAAATCAAAGAAGGGAATGGTATAATCACTTAAATTCCAAACATTCAGTTTCTAGAAGGCGATGGATGACACTGGAAGCTCACAATCCATTTGAAGAATCCCCAAATAGATTAAACCTTTGGTGAATCGAGGAATTTGAATCACCTTTCTACCAGTCAAAGAGCATTGTAAACTCAATAATGGCAATTTTAGTTAGGTTAAAATGTAATACCTTATTATTTGATCCCCCTTTTGTTTTTGCTTTCTTTTCAATTGAGGTGTTTTACTGTTTTGTTTGTCATTGTTATTGGTCTTCTTACTGCTTCTTTCTTATTTTTGTTTTGTGTGATTTTCTGCATGTGAAACCCTGGATCGTAACTGGATTAATAATTACCTATGAACATGGCAAGGAAGGCTGGGGGAAATGAGGAGCTAACAACAATGAATATGAGAAAGATGTTGTGAGATTCATTGTTGTGATGAATGTACAACTCTTTTTAACATGATTGAACTACTAAATTGTAATGCTATGTGAATTATATGCCAATAAAAAGAGAAATGGGTGCATAAGCAAATGTGGCAAAGAAAGCTGATGGTGCCCAGCTATCAAAAAGTATGGCATCTGGGGTCTTAAAGGCTTGAAGGTAAACAAGCGGCCATCAAGCTCAGAAGCAACAAAGCCCACATGGAAGAAGCACACCAGCCTATGCGATCACGAGATGTCGAAGGGATCAGGTATAAGGCATCATCAGAACAAAAAATCTTACCAGAGTGAATGATGTGGGGAGTGCAGAGTGGAGACCCAATGCCCATTTGTAGGCCACTGGAGATCCCCTTGCAGAGGGGTCTCAGGGAGGAGATGAGCCAGTTAGGGTGCAATGTAGCAACGATGAAAAATACAACTTTCCTCTGGTTCCTAAATGCTTCTTCCCCGCCCCCACTATCATGATACGAATTCTACCTTGCAAGTCTAGCTAGACCAGAGGATGTACACTGGTACAGATAGGAACTGGAAACACAGGGAATCCAAGGCGGATGATCCCTTCAGGACCAATGGTGTGAGTGGCAATACTGGGAGGGTAGAGGGAGAGTGGGTTGGAAAGAGGGAACCGATTACAGGGAACTCTATGTGACCTCCTCCCTTGGGGATGGACAACAGAAAAGTGGGTGAAGGGAGACATCAGACAGGGCAAGATGTGACAAAATAATAATTTATAAATTATCAAGGGCTCATGAGGGAGGGGGGAAGGGGGAGGGAGGGAACAAAATGAGGACCAGGGGCCTAAGTTGAGAGGAAATGTTTTGAGAATGATGAGGGCAATGAATGTACAAATGTGCTTTACACAGTTGATGTGTGTATGGATTGTGATAAGAGTCCCTAATAAAACGGTTAAAAAAAACATTAAAAAAAATGCCTGGTCATTTTACTTCCAGGTGAACATAGCTGATGAAACATCAAGTGCAGTTCTAATAAGAAACACATGGGGTTACTGTTAATTTGAATTGATTGGTTAAAGATAGTAAGTTAAACTCATTTATTAATTTTTAATTAATCACATATTAATGACACATTTGTTTTTATTTTATGGATTCTAGAAAATGACTCAAAACTGTTGGATCAGAGACAAAGGACTTTAATGCTTACGGCACACTATGCAGTTTAACCATTACATTTTTTTGGTTACCCTATCTTTCAAGTCTCATGGCAATTACACCATAAGGTCCAAATTAATGCTGTTCACTCAATGACTAACTTTATGTCATAGCTAGTGAATATTGAGCCTGAGGAATCAATCTTTTATCAAGCAATAAACAGGCCTCCTCTTTGTCTTCATCTCTTAGTTTGTTCTTGACAAAGACACCCTTGACAATGGTCAAAGTAAAAAAGTAGTCACATTCTTATAGTTCTTGGTGCCCACAAAACACGTAAGCTTATAAGAGGACAATGGGGAACTGTTTTTTTTTTCCAATACTCATCACTCCTTGGTAACCACTGAGGATATTTGTATGTACAGCAAGATAAACAAATCAATAATCCAAAGGATGGTGAAGTTGTATTTAGTATGGAGAATCTTAATATTCTTTACATAAAAATTAAACTATTCTGCTGCTAGTAGGCCTCTTTCTAAATGATTATGTGTTAATGATCAGTTTTACGTTTGCATGTGTGAGGGCGTGGTCATTAGAGAGTCATTTGCAGAAGAAAGAATAGATAATTGAATAGATTAGGCAGAATTCTTGTCACTAAAGATTCATTTCTAGTTTTCTGTAAAGAGCTTTGGTGAGTAGTGGGTTAAAAGTTGTGCTGCTAATCACACGTTTCTAGTTCAAATGTACCAGCTTCTCCAAGGGAGAAAGAGGGGGCTTTCTATTCCCGTAAATATTTAGAGCCTCAGAAATCTTAATGCAACCTACTCTATTACTGTAAGGTTGATATGAGTCAGAATTAACTTGCTAACAGTGAGTTTAGTTATGTTTTTCTTTTTTGGTTTGGTTTGTTTTTTAGTTTCTACATAGTCAAATGTGTGTTGATGATTGATCAAAAATATGTTTTCTTATATATGTAATGTTTATATGTTTTATTAGATTCATATGGCTCAAGGGAAATAAAATTGTATGTAAAATACTCCTTAAATGGGCTGGTACTATGTGCTCTGTGTTTTTGTGACAGTTACTTGAGTAATATCAATACCTAGTTCTGACGGGTGAATAACTGAGAGGCACAATGAAAAATGGAGGGTTGCCTTTTCCCTGCTCCCCTGTCTTTTTCATGATAAACCGTGAATTGTTCTTTTGGCATTGGGTGATAGTGTGGCGGAGGGCTGTTCAAAGGAAGGAAGGAAGGATCAGTAACTTCCTGTTCAGCTTTTAATGCAGTAACTCAGTGACTTTGGGACTTCAGGAATCTTAATTAATCTTACTCAATGTTTGGTTTATAATGATTCTCTGAAATTAAATGGGATAATGAATATGAAAGTCCTTTCTAAACTATAAAGCAGTACACAAATATTTAATTACCAAAACGAATGAGTATTAGAATTTTCCTCTTTCAAATCTGGGGGTATACTAGAGACCTCAGTCTGAATATTTCTGATCATACATTATATTCTTTTAAAAAGCATAACTTTTTAGAGAAAATAATTTTTGAAAACTGTAAATTCAGTCACTTGTAAACTTTGCTATGTGATTTACTTTTTTACCTTACCATTCTGGATAAATTCAAATTTATTTCTTCATTACTAAGTCTAAGATGAGGGATTTATTAAAATTGTATTTGCATTTTAAAATACTGGTTTTAAGAGTGAAAATTATACTGCTGTACGATATGGAAATGGATGATTAAAAAATAGGTTCATGAAATAAAACATAGTAGGAATTAGGGTGTTGAAGTGTTTGAGAAATGGGTAGAAGGTAATACAGTGTTGGGTATGTGTATTAATGAGAGCTCACTTTTATCTTTTATTCTGAAAATGTTATTGAGATGCCATGTGTGTTTGACAGGGCTTTCTAGAGAAACAAAACTAGGACGCTTATGATTTTATATATATATCTATAAATATAGATATAGACTAGATATAGATATAGGTATAGGTATATACAGCACAAAGGACTATAACAGCTAATTAGTCCACACAGCAGTACAGAGGGCTAAGTTCAACTCACACCTGTAGAACAGCTAATATACTGGAATTCCTTCAACTCATGAGGGCTGCTGGGTCCAAGGTCAAGGAAGCATACAGCTGAGTCTTTCCTACGACAATGCAGGCACTCTGCCCACAGGCAGCAAACAGCAGGGTGGTCACCAATAGTCAGCCGCTCAGAAGCTTAGCGATCAGGCCTGCATGAGATCTGGAACTCAAAACTCAAGCAACGCATGACAGCAGGGTCCACCAGCCTCAAGCTCAAGTGATGTACACACCAGCAGCATGGTCAAGCAGGTCTCGAAGGAACTTCAAGCTTTCATGACATGATCCATGGGTTGACTATCCCACAGCTAGTGTAGCTCACAAGTTAAGGCAGAGAACTAGCTAAAGCAGCCGCATGCTGGTCCAATCACCAGAAAGCAAGAGAGAGAGGAGTGGGGCTTGCCGAGCCATTTATCTCATTGCTCTCTAATCATACTGTGACCTTATTAATCACACATATTCCTATTGGCCAGGTTGACACATGAACCTACCTATCACACCATGAAATGGAAAAGAAAGAGGTGGTCATACAACTCATTTATTGTTTTTTTTTTTAATAGAGTAAGATAATCTCCTTCTGTTGATGGATTGTTAACTGTAACTTTCATATATTATTTGTGTTCACTGCATATTACATTATTTATATACGCTAATGATTAAGGAAAGGACTATTCATAGACTTTAAATATCTTCCTTAAGGCCACACCTCTGCGTCATGATTTAGAGCCCTAAAATTATTCTCCCCGTTACTACGTATAGCCATGCATATAAATTATTATATATTATCTTAGGAAGTATTTCAAAGCAGTAACATCTCATTCTGATTTTAGGTAGTTATTACTAATAAAAGTGGAGAGATCCTGTATCGTATTTCACCGTGGGCGAAGTATGTGGCTCGTGAAGGTGATAATGTGAATTATGATTGGATACACTGGGATCCGGAACACCCATATAAAGTGAGAACAACAAATCCTTGAATAAATGCATGTTCCAATATTTCAAGGAAAATTATGTTTTACTTTTATAACTTTATATTCTTTAGAATTTTAGCCCATAGTGTTCTTGTTATGTTATACATAAATGAGTACATCATTTGTAGCCAATAAAATATAGTTCTTTAAGCATCTGGTTCTGTGAAGGAAAACCCCCCAAAATATATATATAATTTTTATATACTGACTCATAAAGAATGCTGAAAATAAATAAAGTCCTATTTGTGACTTATGATAAACTCTACAATTATACAACATTTCTCATTAGCTTGGGATTGCAATAGAATCCTTGTCCTTTAAGGAAAATACATAGAAAAGCTACCTCATAAATTTATTAATTAAGGTTATATATGTTTTTATTATCTTTTTAAAAAATTTGGACTCCCTTTGCTACCTTTGAAATTATAGAGGTGTGTTCAGAAATCATTTGCATCTGTGGTTCTTATTTGTACTTAGGTCATAAAATATTTTTACTCTGTGAGAAAGGCATATAAAATCAGATTAATACATGATTCTTTTAAAAATTAAATTTATTAATACAATTTTTAAATGTTTACTTTGTTTTTATCATATGTCAGCAATTTCAATGGAGCTAGCTAATTCCTTTTATATGCTCCTAGTGTTTGACTGAGTTGAATCATCCATCAATTTAACAATTTAACATTTGGTGTCATTCCTGGAATCCTGGACTAATTCAATATATAATTTTACATTCTGTAGTGTAAGCATGTGAGGCCAAAGAAGCCAAGAAGTCTAAGAATTTATGAATCTCATGTGGGAATTTCTTCCCATGAAGGAAAAGTTGCTTCTTATAAACATTTTACATATAATGTACTTCCAAGAATTAAAGACCTTGGTAAGTAATAACTGAGATTTTTATTCAGATAAAATTTTAATGAGTCTGTTCTCTTATTAGAAAAGCTAATTACAAGTGTGTCTTTTTGTGTTAAGAGATTAAATATGCAATAGAAATACATTTTATTTTAGGCTTCTCAAATTGCCCTGTAATAGTGATAGCATAGAATAGAGAAATGGAATAAGATAGAGCATGAAAATCCAAGATACTGTTCCAATTTCAATTTCAAGTAATGTGCCTGATGCTTGCAAATTGTAGATAAATATGTAAGCATAATTACTTTTCTACAGGAGAAAACTTTTATCCAATTAAGTGGTCATTGATTACAGCCAGTTCATTTTAATCTGTTAAAGAAAAATGTAATATTTGTAAGTTAACAGGAACTTATTCTGTATCAGAATCATTGAATAGAGTGCCTGTCTGTATAACTTATTTGACAGACGTTATGGGGGATCTTCTCGGTGCCTCTCAGATGTTCGTGTATTAGACCATAATGACGCAGACCCTGTCTTCAGGCGAACAGTCAAGATAGTGACGAGTATCTGTCTGAATTATTGATTCCATTTGCTTCAAACATGTTACTTTTCTTTTGAGAGTTAATGAGGTGTTTTTAAAAATAATTTTACTGCCTATTAGCTATTGCTCCAATAGCTATATGGGAGAAAAAGTGTATTTAATATTATGTTTCCAGTAGGCAGTTTTAATTTTTACCAGAGGAGAACTTGTAACTTCTGGTTAAAATGTTCACTGTCCTATGCATCTTATCTATTATGATGAGGTCAGTTTCCATAAACCACAATTAATTAATTGTAAGGAGAATTATTTTTTAATATTGCATTTGACATGTTCTATCATATTGTATAGCAATAAATTGCTTGTATTCTTGTTCTCACATAAACCAGCAGGACAAGGGTTCTCTTACTTATCTTTCCGTCTGAGTTACCTAATTCAGTGCTGGAAATATAAATGAATTCCATAAAACTTAACAGTAAAAACTATAAACTTATGTTTCATAAGAATAATATTTATTACATAATAGAGATATAAATTACAAAATGTAAGAAACATCTTCACTGTAATAAGGTATAATTTCTTTCTTTTACAAAGTTATTTATTTTAATTTATTATTAATTTGGATTTAATAACTACATCATTCCATAGTTCAATCACATCAAGCAGAATTGTACATTACTACCACAGTTTCCAAATATTCTTTTCCTACATTCCTTGACATTGTCTCCCATTTATACCAGCCCCCTCCCCAACCACTACTCTACCTTCTGCCCACGGAACCCTTATTCTACATTGCTGTCCCTGTAAGTTCATCAATCCTGGGTTTTATAGACCGAAACACAGAAAAGTATACAACACAACTTTAAGAGGGTGACCTCCAGTGACATAATACTTCTGAGATACAGCCTAATATGAACACACAAAAACAAAAGAAAACAGAATGTCTATCACAGGTTTGCAGGAAAAATACATATACATATAGGGCATTGATGTAGCAAGACATCATGTTTGTCCGCCTACCAACAGTTCCACAATCTTGGTACAGCTGCTGCTTTCCACTTCCTCAGACACCATGTATTTTCTGACTGAAGTCCTCGGGTTATAAGTGTGTCTGAGGCCAACTGACCCAGTGGAGATTCCACATGGGATTTTTATATATAAGCTCTGTATATATTCTGTGGACCGTCAGAGTCCATTTACTGTTTTAAAAAATAATGAAGAAAGCAACAATAATAACTTTCTGGTATATTATGAAATTGTAGGGAATTTAATAATTTCCTGTGTACTTATATCCCCAATTATGAATTGTAAGTTTTCCAATATTGATGGGTTGCTGAAATATATTTGTGAGAAGCTGCAATATAATTGGACAAGAAGAATAAAATTAATTTGACACGTCTTTGCTTTAGAAATCCACAAGTAAGATTACATATTAAATGGTATGTTGTTGAATATAAGTATATAAGTATATTGTATATACATATATATATTTCAAACAATTTATAAAAGTTTTGTTGATTTGGTTTTGACTTTGAAAGCAGAATAAGAACTTTAATGTATTGCAGAAATGTTACTTTCCAAGCAATCAATATTGGAAAAGTTCCCAAGTCTTATTTTTAAGATGGAAAACATACTTTTCCTACTTTTATTTTAAAGGTCAAACTTTCCCCCTTATGAATATTATTTCTTTATATGGAAAATATTTGGGTAAATTTTATAAAATTTAATAAATATATTAATACAGTATATACTTTGAGTTATTTAATTTTATATTAAAGCAAAATATTTGGGAATAAAATAGGAAGACGGGTGTGTGTGTGTGTTCATGCAAACTTGAAAATTTGAATAGTTTGATAAATGTAAAAAAATAGTGGAAAGTAGTGGTATTAATGTTGGCTCTGTAAAAGCTACTTTGCAAAAAAAGCTGGCTTAGTGACATTTCTTATGATATATAATATAAATGCTGAAGTGTTAAGAAAATGGTAAAATAAAAAGTATATACAATTTATTTAATTACTTTTACCTTTCAAAATCTTCAGTGTGAATATTAAAAGTATAATTGAAGTTTAGCATATGTAGATTTTCATCTTTAATATTATAAATTCCAATTAAAAGTATATTTGCATATCATTTATTACTTGGTAAAATGAAGTCATTTCTTCAAATAGCTAGTCAATTTATAATTCTCATGAAACTAACAATCCAAGTTTGTGTTAGAAGGTCATACACACTTAAAATATTAATTTATAAATCTAATTGTGAATTTTAAGTTTCCAATAATGGCATATTGAAAAATTTTTGTGAGAAACTGCAAGTTACTGAACAAAAAGAATAAGATTAATTTGACATTAAGCAGCCTGTACTCAAGTTGACTAAACCTAGATTACATGTACAATTAATATTGTCTTTGGATAAGGATGTGATTTTATAGCATGCATGAGTTTTCAATATGTCTATGTTTTTCAATCTCTATTTGACCTTTCTTTAAATAGGATACAACTGTATTCAGTTGATGGCAATCATGGAACATGCATATTATGCCAGTTTTGGTTACCAAATCACAAGCTTCTTTGCAGCTTCCAGGTAATATGAAAAATTCATTATGGTTGTTTTCACTCTGAGCAAATAAATATTATATTATTGATATGTTATATACACACACACATATATACTTTTTGATCGAACAATGTCTTATAAACTACTTTCATGTTAGCCTAATTAGCAGAAGCTAAGCATGTCTTTATTCAGATAACAGATGATTGTAATCCAGCCTTAGAGATTGCCGCTCATCTAATTGTTCCTGATAAAAGATGTTCAGAAATTATCACATTAATCAGCTCTAGCTTTGCTGCTGTGAGTCAGAATCGACTTAATGGCAGTGAATTTGGTTGGTGTAGAGGAGGACTTTACATTTCTTTTTACCAGAGCTTGCATCCTTATTGGAAAGAGACCCAACTAGGAAAGTGATTGGGGAGGTTTTTGGTAAGACATTATAACCTATAGAAAGGGTGCCTTTCCTTTGATACTGAAATCCAAACCATGTGGGTCTGGGGGCAGGAGGACATCATAGGCTTCTAAGCATTAGAGATGCTATTGACTTGAATGAGTGCAATGGATAATTTACCTTGGTCTGTACATCTAGTGATTCCCAACTGCTAACCTTGATGATTCCAGCCCAATGCGTAACCACTGCACCACACAGAAAATAATCACAAGATCAAAGGTGATATACTGATTAAGGAAAATTGTCTTCTGGGCTTGCTTTTGATTTGCTATTCCATGCTGACTTTTAACACATGCACTGGTACATATGCGTTACCCGTCATTTCTACTTGTATGGTCACAGATAGGACACATCTATCTGGCCACTGGTACCTGAGGGCACTCTGGCTTGGGATAAGTGAAGGACGAATGGCCTCAGTGAAAGAATTGATGGCATTTTCAAACTCTCCCCCACCACACACACTCTAAGAGCTAGGGGAGGCATCTGAGCAAACATGACCAGCGCTAGGGTCTCTAACATTGGAGAATCAGAATTTTCTGGTTGGCAAACTTTAAAAATGAATATTTAATGGACTGAATTAAATACTTATTATTTTATTGACTGGGTCTATAACCCAATGCTAAGCAAATTTGATTTTTAAGGATCATGTTATAAAGCATTTACATATTTAAAATATATAGTGTAGCATTGGTAAAACAATTGGTGCATATTAAAAGATTGACCGATACAAGTGTATGCATAATGACATCTTGTTTTTGCTGTGTTCTCTATCTTTAGCCGTTTTGGAACACCAGAAGATCTAAAGGAATTGGTTGACACGGCACATTCAATGGGAATCACAGTCCTCTTAGATGTAGTACACAGCCATGCTTCAAAAAATTCAGAGGATGGATTGAATATGTTTGATGGAACAGATTCCTGCTATTTTCACTCCGGACCTCGAGGGAATCACGATCTTTGGGATAGTAGATTGTTTGCCTACTCCAAGTAGGTATATATTTTATATGATACATATGTTTTTCTCTATCCAAATTTTTTTAAATTTAAAATTAATTTCAAGAAATTTAACCAACTTCATTGTATGTGTATGCTTTACTGGTATTTCATATACTTAATATGATATTTTAATTAGATTTGGATTAGATTTAATGTAGCTATAGAATTTCCCTTATTTTTGCATAGCATGTGATATTAAAAAAAATCCATTGCTGTTGAATTGATTTGAAATTCATAGTGACTTCACAGAACAGAGTCGATCTGCTCTATCAGGAGCAGAGAAATACCTCTTTCTCTAGCCGAGCAGTTTGTGGGTTTGAACCTACAACCTTGCAGTTTGCATCTTGATGCTTACTCAGTGTGCCATAGGGGCTCCTTACATATTGGTGATAACTCACTGCCATTGAATTAATTCCTACTCATAGGAACCCTGTAGATGGAGCAGAACTGCCCCTGTAAGTTTCTGAGACTGTAAATCTTCATGGGAGGAGAAAGTCTCCGTTTGTTTGTTTGTTTTTTCCACAACCAAAGTATAACCCATTTCCCCACCAGGGCTTCTGTTGATATGTTAAATTTCAGTTTTACAAATCTTAAAACCCATTGCTATCGAGTTGGTTCCAACTTATACCAACTCCATAGTGATTCTATACAACAGAATCCAAAAAATAGAAGAAGGATTTTCAAAATAATTTTTACAGAAGCAAACGGCCTCTTCTTTGTCCTGCGGAGTTTGTTGGTAAATTAGAACTGCTGCTGTTTCAGTTAGCAGCTAAGCATTTAGCCACTGTGCTACCATGCCTCCTATGTCATTTAATGTATATTATCTTGCCTCTTCCAATTATTAATATGAATCATATTTTACATTTTAAATATAACATTATTTACTTGAGTTAACCTTAAATAGATTCCCTTTTCATGGAGAAATATTGGTGTATGTCTTTTAAAGAGACCTATTTTCTTTTTAATCATTTTATTGGGAGCTCATACAGCTCTCATAACAATCCATCCATCCATCCATCTATTGTGTCAAGCATATTTGTACATATGTTGCCATCATCATTTGCAAAACCGTTTTTTTTTCCTACTTGAACCCTTTGTATCAGCTCTTTATTTTTTACCCACCCTCCCTGACTCTTCCTCCCTTATGACCCCCTTTGAAATTTATAAATTATTATTATTTTTTCATGTCTTACATTGACTGATGTCTCCCTTCACTCACTTTTCCGTTGTCCATCCTTGAGAAGGGGTTAGATGAAGATCATTGTGATTGGTTACCCCTTTTCCTCCCAACTTCCCTTTACCCGCCTGGTGTCACTACTCTCATTATTGGTCCTGAGGGGTTTATCTGTCCTGGATTCCCTGTGTTTCCAGCTCTTATAGATACCCATGTACATGCTCTGGTCTAGCCAGATTTGTAAGGCAAAATTGGGCTCATGATAGTGGTGGGAAGGAAACATTAAGGAACTAGAGGAAAATTGTATGTTTCATTGGTGCTATATTGCACCCCGACTGTCTCGTGTCTTCCTTGTGACCCTTCAGTAAGGGATGTCCAATTGTCTACAGGTGGGCTTTGGGTCACCACTCTGCACCCCCCTTCATTCACATTGATAGGATTTTTTGTTCTGGATCTTTGATGCCTGATACCTGATCCCCTCGACACCTCATTATCACACAAGCTAGTATGCTTCTTCCATGTGGGCTTTGTTGCTTCTCAGCTAGATGGCCGCTTGTTTATCTTCAAGCCTTCAAAACCCCAGATATTATATCTTTTGATAGCCGGGCACCCTCAGCTTTCTTCACCATGTTTGCTTATACACCCATTTTATCTTCAAGATTGCATCTGGAAGCTGACCATCACAAAATGCTAGGTTATTAGAACGAACTCTTCTTGTGTTGAGGGAGTACTTGAGTAAAAACCCAATGTCTGTCTGCTACCTTAATGCTTAACATATAAATATATGTACATAGCTCTATTTCCCTATTGTTATATATAAATATATTTACATATGTACATGCATGGATTTAGACCTCTATTAATGTCCATTTGCCTCCTATTTTTTGCCTCGATTTCCTTTTAAATTTTCTCTTGTCCCAGTATCATGTTTTACCTTCATTCAGGTTTCAGTAATTCCTCTCAGTTACATTGCCCTTGATCTACCCCTACCAGACATCCTATGCCTTTCTCGCTGTATTAGTCTAGTACTTTAGAGAAACAAATCCACATCAACTCATGTATGAGAGTTTTATGGAAAGAAAGTGTGCATCATGAAAACATCCCAACCCAATGCTGTCCAAGCCCACAAGTCCAACATTAACCCATTAACCCAACACCAGTCCACAAAGTCCTCCACCTCACAAAACAGAGGCAATGATGCCGACTGCAGGAGGAAAGCTGAGTCAGTGAACGAATAAGCATCTCAGCACTAGCAGGGGTCTCCACACTGCTGCTCCAGCACCCAGGGCTGCATCAGGATAGGTCCATGTGGCTTCTCCTTGGGGATGTCTTGTAGGAAGTCAATCTTGCAAGCTGAAGCAGGGAACTTCTAAGGCAGCTGTACCCTGGTGCGACCATCACAAAGAAAGAGACCTGAGGACTAGAAAGGCAAGGCTCACCACCCATTTATCCCTCTGCCTTTCAATTAGCCCCACATGTGATTATCGGCCAGGTTGGCACAATTAACTAACTCACTCGCCATTGATTTTAGATCACTTATTGTTCCCTTGTCCCTGGGTTTGTTAACACCCACTCCCTTTGCCCAGCCTCCCCATCTCCAGTGTCCTCCAGAAACCATAGGTCTCATTGTTTTCTCCTCCGGATTGTTTATCCTGCCTATCTTATCTAGACACACATGCAGAGACAGTGATAAGCATAACTATAAAACAAAACAAAACAAAAATCCAAAACAACAAAACCCAATGACAAAAAAATAAAAAGAAAAGAAAAGAAAGCCTATAAATAGTTCCAGATCTGTTTGTTGAGTGTTTTCTAGTTCAGTCAGATGGGGTACCAAGCCTTAGCCCCAAAGTCTACTTTTGACATTTCCTGGGGACTTCATTGTTTTGCTCCCCTTTGCTGCTCTGTTGCATGCTCTTACCATTTTGCCCTGGTGTGCTGGGATCAGATCCGGCACAATTCCTGCACTGTGCCTCCAGTGTGGTCGCTCATAGTGCTATGGGATAGTGAGGGATGTTGCGTCTCCTGGTGGGGCCAGCCCTGTGGTCCTTTCTGTGCATTGGCTGCTCTAAGCAGGAATATTGTCCTTTGGGTTGGTAGGCCAGGTTATGTTCCACTCTCTCTCCCCTCTTTGCTTGCTCCTGTGTGCTCTAATCAGATGTACCCCTCTCCCTGAACTGTAGCTTCAGTGCTATTCCCTGAAGTGAATTTTTCTCGGTGGAGGGGAGAGGGTGTCCATGTAGTTGGGATTGGGGCTGGCCCCGCAGATCTCTCTCTTGGTTCCCTGCTTCATGCCAGTATGTTGCATTCACATCTTGGTGTACCGAGTTGAAGTCTTGTCCCTCTCTCTCTCTCTTGTGGATTTATAAATATCACCCTCCCCTTGGGTGGGGGTTAGTGCCCTGTTATCCCGCTACCCATGTCCTTTTTTAAAAACTTTTGTTCCTCTTTCTTTTCCCCTCCTTTTTAGTTGGCTACCATATCCCTGGATTAGGTTTGGCCCCTGCCCTAGTACGTGGACCTCTCCCCAAGAATATATGTACCCAGTAGTTTTCCCACTAAGCCCCTTTTGCATTTGTAAGCTAACCACAGCGGACTCATGTTGTACTTTCCTTTTGTGCTAGGACTACTTTACTTAGCATAATTTCCTCCAGTTCTTCCCATGTGGCAATCTGCTTCATACGTTCATCTCTGCTTTTGTAGGGATGCATCATGCTCCATTTTAGGGATGCATCATACTCTACAGTTTTTTTGATCCATTTATCAGTTGATGGAAATTTGGGTTGTTTCCAATTCCTTGCAATTGTGAACTAAGCCACAATGAACATTGGAGCACAGATATCTGGCTGTGGTTTGTTTCTTGCCTCGTCTGGGTATATGCCCAGTAGGGGAATTGCTTGGTTGTATGGTAGCTTGATTTCCATCTGTTTTAGATATCACCAAATCGATTTCCATAATGGCTGTACATACCTACAGGTCCACCAGCAGTGGACAAAAGTTCCTATCTCGGAACTGAAAATAAAGGGAAGCCAGGACGGATGAGCCCTATAGGACCAGTGGTGTGAGTGGCAAAACAGGGAGGGTAAAGGGAGAATGGGTAGGAAAGAGGGAACCGATTACATGGAACTGTGTGTGACCTCCTCCCTGGGGGACAGACAACCGAAAAGTGGATGAAGGGAGACGTCGGACAGGGCAAGATATGACAAAATACCCATTTATAAACTATCAAGGGCACATGCGGGAGGGAGGGGCGGGGAGGGAGGGGAAAAATGAGGACCTGATGTCGGGGGTTTGAATGGAGAGAAATGTTTTGAGAAACGATGTACAAATGCGCTTTACACAATTGATGTGTGTATGGATTGGGATAACAGTTGTATGAGCCCCTAATAAAATGTTAAAAAAGGAAAAAAAAAAAAGTTCCTATCTCACCACTTGTTACTTTATGATTTTTTGAATTGGGCTAGCTCTGAGGGTATTCAATGATATATATCATAGTTTTAATTTGCATTTCTCTTTTGACTAATTATCAGGAACATTTTCTCATTTGTTTATTTGCCATTTGGATTTCTGCCCTTGTGAAACTTCTGTTCAGGTCCTCTGCCCACCTCCTCAGTGGGCAATTGTTTTTGTTTTTCTTTTTGTAAGCAAGCAGAGTACTGTAGATTTTTGTAATAAGGCCTCTGTCTTACGTGTCTTGCTAAAGATGTTTTCCCAGTCCGCTGGTTCTCTTATTATGCTCTTGGTTTATCCTTTCAATGTACACACGTTTTATCTTCAATATATCCCACTTGTCGATTTGGTGCCTCATCCGTATTTG